ACTTTTATTCCGTTAAATTACAATGGTTATTCTTTAAAGATAAATTGGGAGAGAAAGTGTCAAACAAGCAAACAAGCCATCGCTAACAACAACGTCATTATGTACCACACTTGCCCACGTTAGCGTACACCCCCTCCCCCCCTCCCCCTCCCTATTCCTCCTTATTCCCCATCCCCCCCACCCCCACCCCCCTACCCTCTACCACCTCAATCCTTTACGGGTTTCGCCAGGTACACAGGCTGGGGTGGGGGTGGGGTGGGGGGGGGTGGCAAAGGTCGGGTCACGTGTAGCATGAGGCTAGGGGTCAGGCGAGGTCAGGCGCGTGAGGTCACCCGCGATTCGTCAGCTTGGGTGTGGGAGAGTGAAGGTGGAGGGGGGGTTGGGGGGCTGGAAGGAAAGGAGGGGGATGGAATTCAGAGGAAGAGTTTTTAGTATGACTTTTATTTTTATTTTTTCTAAACAAGGATTAATTGTGTGCGTGTGCGTGTGCGTGGTGCGGCGTGTGCGTGTGCGTGTGCTGTGCGTGTGCGTTGGTTGCTGCGTGGCGTGTGTGTGTGTGTGTGTGTTGTGTGTGTGTGTGTGTTGTGTGTTGTGTGTGTTGTGTGTGTGTGTGTGTGTGTGCGTCCATGTGCTGCGTGTATTTTGTGTTATGTTGTCTTAGTCTATGCGCAAGTAAATATTCCTTTTTTCTTTCTTGTTTTATGTCAGCATTAGCAAAAAGTGACACGAACTTTTGCTGTGTATCGCATCAAACTGACGAACACACAAACAGCAATTCTTGATCCCTCTTTCCCCCTCCTCTCCCCCCCCCTCCCTCTCCCTCTCCCTTCCCCCTCCCCCTCCTCCCCCCCCCCTCCCTCCCCCTCCCCTCCCCCTCCCCCCTCCATTAGCAATGGTCTGTCGCTCCGAAAAGCTAATTTGTGAAGCCTTTTGCACCGCAAGTGGGCGCCTTTGCCCCAGAGTTGTAATTTTGTGTGCGGGAGTCCTCGCTAATAACCAGCGCTGCTCGTCCAACCACCTGTCGCAACCACTTGCCACAAAATATCAGAAACCACCTGTTGGGGGTCTGTCTGTAGACATCGTGTTGATTAACGCTTGCTTGTTCTCTCTGCAATTACATGTTCAACCACCACCTGTTCGGATGACTTTCAACCACTGTGTGATGGCGACCTGTTTAACAGTGGCCCACCACCTGTAGAATTGGATCAACCACCTGTCTCCCGTTGAATTACCGTATCGATCACCTATTAAACCGACCCTCTGCCAATTGTTAATTAACATCAAGCCACCTGTGAGATAGACTTTAATAGGCAGTTCAACATTTATCCCCTCTCACGTCGCCGAGTCCAACCACCTGTATAACCGCCTGCTTCAATTAAGACTTTCAACCACCTGTTCAGCGTTAAACTTTCCCTGTATGATCAGGAGATTTCCTTAGATTTCCATCCTCGTTATGTAATGTTATTAACTTGCAAATTATTTTTTTATAGATGTTATACTATAGTTATTGGTGAGATTAGCGGAGAAAAATTGATTTCTTGTAATTGCAATAAATTAAAGGAAGACTGAAGCCAGAGGGAAGGAGGAGAGGAGAGAGAAGAGAGAGAGAGAGAGGAGAGAAGAGAGAGAGGAGAGGGGTGGTGGAGGATAGAGGGGAGAGGGAGTAGAGAGGAGGAAAGAGAGAGAAGAAGAGAGAGAAGGAAGGAGAGAGAGAAGGGGAGAGGGAAGGAAGAAGAAGGAGGAGTAAGGAGAAAGGAGAAAGAAGGGAGAGGAAGGGGGGAGGGGGGTAAGAGAAAAAATGGGAGAAGAGAGAGAGAATACGATGTATGGACGGGAGAGGAGGTGAAGAAAGGACAGGTCAAAGGGGTGGGGTGGGGGTGGGGGTGAGTGCGATGGGGGAAGGGCACGTAGGCGGTGGGAGGTATTGTTCACCGACATCAAAGGTTGTTCTCTGACGTCCAGGCGGAAGGGAAGGGGTGGGGGTGAAGCTAGAAAGGAGGGATGAGTCAGGGGGTGGGGGAGGTGGTGCTGGGAAGGGATGGTGGTGTATAGGGTGGGGTGAGAAGTAAGGGAAGGGAAGGGAGGGTTGGGTGGTGAGTTGGTGGTGGGTGGGTGGGAGAAGGGGAGGTTAGAGGGNGAGGTCACCCGCGATTTCGTCAGCTTGGGTGTGGAGAGGGAGAGTGAAGTGGAGGGGGGGGTTGGGGGCTGGAAGGAAAGGAGGGTGGGAATGGAATTCAGAGGAAGAGTTTTTAGTATGTACTTTTATTTTTATTTTTTCTAAACAAAGGATAATTTGTGTGTGACGTGTGCGTGTGCGTGTGCGTGTGTGTGGTGTGCTGTGTTGTGCTGTGTGGTGTGGTGTGTGTGTGTGTGTGTGTGTGTGTGTGTGTGTGTGTGTGCTGCGTCCATGTGCGTGCGTGTATTTGTGTTATGTTGTCTTTTAGTCTATGCGCAAGTAATATTCCTTTTTTCTTTCTTGTTTTATGTCAGCATTAGCAAAAGTCACGAATTTTGCTGTTATCGCAATCAAACTGACGAACACACAAACAGCAATCTTGAATCCCTCCCTCTCTTCCCCCTTCCCCCCTCCCTCCCTCTCCCCTCTCCCCTCCCCCTCCCCCCCCTCCTCCCTCCCCCCTCCCCCCCCCTCCCCCTCCATTAGCAATGGTCTGTCGCTCCGAAAAGCTAATTTGTGAAGCCTTTTGCACCGCAAGTGGGCGCCTTTGCCCCAGAGTTGTAATTTTGTGTGCGGGAGTCCTCGCTAATAACCAGCGCTGCTCGTCCAACCACCTGTCGCAACCACTTGCCACAGAATATCAGAAACCACCTGTTGGGGTCTGTTGTAGACATCGTGTTGATTAACGCTTGCTTGTTCTCTCTCTGCAATTACATGTTCAACCACCACCTGTTCGGATGACTTTCAACCACTGTGTGATGGCGACCTGTTTAGAAGTGGCCCCTACACCTGTAGAATTGGATCAACCACCTGTCTCTCGTTGAATTACCGTATCGATCACCTATTAAACCGACCCTCTGCCAATTGTTAATTAACATCAAGCCACCTGTGAGATAGACTTTAATAGGCAGTTCAACATTTATCCCTCTCACGTCGCCGAGTCCAACCACCTGTATAACCGCCTGCTTCAATTAAGACTTTCAACCACCTGTTCAGCGTTAAACTTTCCCTGTATGATCAGAGATTTCCTTAGATTTCCATCCTTGTTATGTAATGTTATTAACTTGCAAATTATTATTTTTTTATAGATGTTATACCATAGTTATTGGTGAGATTAGCGGAGAAAATTGATTTGCTTTAATTGCCAATAAATTAAGGAAGACTGAAGCCAGAGAAAGGAGATGAAGAGGAGGAGAGAGGAGAGAGAGGGAGAGGAGACGAGAGATAGAGAGGAGAGGGAGAGAGAGAGAAAGAGAGAGAGAGAGAGAGAGAGAGAGAGAGGAGTGGGGAAGGAGAGGAGAGAAGGAAGGAGAGAGAGAGAGGGACGAGAGGGAAGGAAGTAAGGAAGAGAGAGTAAAGAAAGAGAAAGAGAGAGTGAGGGGGGGAGGGGGGTAAGAAAAAATGGGAGAAGAGAGAGAGAAAACGTATGGACGTGGGAGAGGTGAAGAAAGGACATGTCAAAGGGGTGGGGGACGTGGGTGGTGGGGGTGAGTGCATTGGGGGGAAGGGCACGTAGGGCGGTGGGAGGTATTGTTCACCGACGATCAAAGGTTGTTCTCTGACGTCAGGCGGAAGGGAAGGGGGTGGGGGTGAAGCTAGAAAGGAGGGATGAGTCAGGGGGTGGGCGGGGTGGTGGGAAGGAGGGATGGTGGGTCAGGGGAGGGAAGGGAAGGGAAGGGAAGGAGGCGGAGGGGAGGGGGGGTGGGTGGCGGTGGGGAGGAGAGGGAGGGGAGGGAGGGGAGGGGGAGGGGAGGGGCTGTAGTGTTCATGAGAGCTCAATCAAAGAGGGAAAGGGGACGGGGGGAGTTGGGGAGGAACGGGGCGGGTGGGGGTTGGGGGGGGGAGAAGAGATGTTTGGTGGATGGGAACCGTAGCGTGCGTGCGTGTGCGCGTGTGTGTTTGTGTTTTGTGTTTGTGTTTGTGTTTGTGTTTGTGTGTGTGTGTGTGTGTGGTGTGTGTGTGTGTGTGTGTGTGTGTGTGTGTGTGTGGTATGTGTATGTGTATGTGTATGTGTATGTGTATGTGTATGTGTTATGTGTATGTGTATGTGTATGTGGTATGTGTATGTGTATGTGTATGTATGTATGTATGTGTATGTATGTGTATGTGTGTGTATGTGTGTGTATGTATGTGTATGTGTATGTGTATGAAAGAAAAGAAAAAAATCTAAGAAAAGAAAAAAAAGTTCCATGGAAACAACGGCAACTACGCATATTTCCCCCCCCCCAAAAAAAAAAAAAATAAATAAGCCACGGTCATCGAGATATTTTTCTTTTTTTTTTTTTTTTTTTTTTTCGAGAGTGACTGCGAAGGGGCTGCGGGGGGATGAACGTAGCCATTTTCATTTTTATTCATTTGTTATTATTATTTATTATTTATTGTTGTTTTGTTGTTTTTTATTGTATTATTATTATTATTATTATTTTATTATTATATTATTATTATTATTATTATTATTATTATTATTATTACATCATCATCATCATCATCATCATCATCACTTTTACTATTACTGTCAACGTTATTTATTATTATACCATTGTTATTATGTTGTTGACGTTGTTGGTATTATTACTATTTGCTCGTTACAGCGTGTACTGTATATCTGTCATGGTATGTATTTCCTGCAATTATCATGCTTCTTTTCCTTTATTATCCATGATTACGGAGCCAACTCAATGGCATTAACTTCCTCAGCTTTATGGAATGGAAGCAGGGAAGAGGCAGCGCCCCCGGAATGGTAATGTGGTGGTAATGGGCGGGGTTGCCTCGGGGTCTCGTTTTTTGTTATTATTATTTTTTTTTTTTCATGGGATTCGGCGAAATGGGGGCGTGTCTCCGGGAGATTTCGACTCGTCCGTTTGGATCGGTATGTGGCCGCGGGTTGAGGTACGCACGCACACACGCACACGGACACCTACTGGTACACCCACACCCGCTCATACACCCACACCTACACCCCCTACTCCCACACCCAGGCCTATTTCACCACACCCACACCCAGTCCCCACGCCATACCCACTCCCACCATACCCACTCCCCACGCCCATACCCACTCCCCCACGCCCATACCCACTCCCCCACGCCCATACCTATTCCCCACCCATACCTACTCCCCACGCCACACCTACTCCCCCACGCCCACACCCACACCTCCACGCCCACACCCACTCCCCATCGCCCACACCTACTCCCCCACACCCACGCCTATTTCACCTCACCCACACCCAGTCCCCCACGCCCATACCTACTCCCCGATGCCCACACCTACTCTCCCACACCCGCACCTACGCCTACACCCATTCCCCCACAAACACACCCATTCGCACACACACACGAACATACACGCACATGTAAGCACACACAGTCCATAGTTAGATTACAGATTAGATCACTTGTCATCTGATTGGCCATGATTAGCCAGGCATAGTAATAGAACATGGCTGTCCACTTCTTCTCTCTTCCCTTCCGGTGAGTGAAGTGTCTGGGATCCGGGGTGAGTCAAATTTTCACAACTCGTCGGTTTTCTGTGTCTCCCTCTCTCCCTCCTTTCCGTTTTCTATGAATTTCCCCCTCCCGGAGCGAAAGGGAGAAAGAACACGCCTTCCTTTGTTTGATGCCTTTCCCACCTCGTCTTTCTTTTGGTTCCCTTTTTGTTTTTTTGTTTTTTGCGTCCGTTCGAGCAGATTCGCACAGGAAGGAAGTTGCCGAGAATGCTAGGTCACGTGTCGAACAAGCCCCGCGTTGATTGCCGGGTGCGAATTGCGCGGGTTACCCCCCTTCACAAAGAAAACGGAAGGAGCACAAAGAAAACGGATGCGCGAGGCCGGGAGGGGGGGGGGGGAAGGGTAGAGGAGGGGGGGGTGTGTTGAGGGCTGAAGGATTGTTTTCAAGGTAATATTTCGTCGTTAAATGGCCCGAGTTCAGGAGGCTCGTACTTGTGTGGTGTTGCCTTTGTTTACGCGTGTGTCATGGGTATTTGTGTTTGGCTGTGGCGGGCTTTTCCTCTTGTGTTTTTCTGTTGTTTCTACCGTGTGTTTCTTCCTCGGGTTGTGTTTGCTGCTCTTCCCGCCCTTTTCTTCCGCACAAACATTTGTTAGTACTATTTTCACGTAGACTTTTTTTTCCCCTTTATTGTCAGTCAAGATATTAATTTCAAAGGGAGTGAAGGATCATAATTGTTCTTTTATATGTACTGAATTTCCTGTTCGTTGTGCAAGGTGTTGGTGCCATTTTGTTTTCTTAGATTATCGGCTCTTTGTTTACGAATTAGAGTATGCTGTTACCAGAAATGTAATAGTAAACAGGAGTCGTTATTGAAAGCGATTTAATTTTCATCTATGTCAGCGGGATCGAAATCGTATTGTGTCTGCAAGCGTAAACTTTTTGTTCGTGATTAAGATTGATTTTGTTCTTTTATACGAAATTTTTCCTTTTCTCCCCTTCCCACCCTCTCCCTTTTCTCCATTTCTGTCTCTCTTCCTTTCCTCTCTCTACCGTGTCCTCTTTCTTTCCCCCTCCGTCTCTTTCTCCTTCCTCTCTCTTCTCTCCTTCTCTCTCTTCCCCTTCCTCTCTCTCTCTTCCTCCCTCCTTCCTCTCTCTTCCCCCCTCCGTCTCTCTTTCACTCCTTCCTCTCTCTATCCCCCTTCCTCCTCTCTTCCCCCTTCTCTCTCTTCCTCCTTCTCTCACTTTCCCCTTCCTCTCTCTTTCCCCCTTCCTCTCTCTTCCTCCTCCTTCCTCTCTCTTCCTCCTTCCTCTCTCTTCCTCTCCTCTCTCTTCCCCTTCCTCTCTCTCCCGTCTTTCGTGTCTCTTTTCTTTCCATTTTCTTCCCCCCTCTCCTTCTCACCCTTCCCGGCGTGTTCTCTCCTTCCCCTTCTTCAATCTCTCTCTCCCCTCCCTTTCCCTTTCAGTGCGTTTCTCATCTCCCCTCGCCCCTCTATCCCTCTTTTTTTTTCTCCTCTCCCTCTTTTTTCTCTTCTCCTTCTCCCCTCTTCGTTATCTTATCCTCTTCCTCTCCTTTCCGTTACTCCTTATTTTTTCCCCTTTCCTCTTCTCACTTTCTCCCACCCTTTCTTCTTCTTTCCCTTTCCTCCCCCCCCTTCTTCCTCACTTTTCTTTCGTCCTCTTTCTTCCCCTTCCTTCGCTCTCTTGCCTCTCCTCTCCTTCCTTCCTCTGTCGCCTCCTTCACATCCTCCTTCTCTCCTTGTCTTCCCTCCCTCCTCCTTCACCTTTAACGAAGGTGTGGAAAAAAGAAACGAAACTTAAAAGTTACACACACGAATAAAAAAAACAACAACAACGAAGAAAAAAGAAAAAAGACACGAAGCTTAAAAGTTACACACACAAAAATAAGAAATAAAAAATAAATAAATAAAAACAGGAAACACAGCTTAAAATATACACCCACGAAAAAAAAGTAAAAAAAAAGGAAGGAAAAAAATTGAAGATTGTCTCCTAGCTCCCTCTTCGTGGCTCCAGGTTGCGTAAGAGGAGGGAGGAGGGAAGCCATGGAAGGGTGGCACTGGCTTGCTCTTCCTTTTTCTTGGTACTGTTAGTATTAACCTTGTTCTTGTTCATGTTCTTGTTCTTCTTTTTCTTTTTCTTTATTATTGTTGTTGTTGTTGGTGTGGTGGTGGTGGTTGGTGGTGGTGGTGGTGTTGATATCATCATCATCATTTCTTCTTCATTATTGTTGTTGTTATTATTGTTTTTTTATTATTATGATTATTATTTTTTTCCTTTATATATTTCTTTCTCTTGTTTATTATTATTATTATTATATTATTATTATTATTATTATTATTATTATTATTATTATTATTATTATTATTATTATTATATTATTATTATTATTATTATTATTATTATCATTATTATTAATAATAATTATCCTTCCTTCTTCTTCTTCCTCTTCTTCTTTCTCTCTTCTTCTTCTTCTTCTTCTTCTTCTTCTTCTTCTTCTTCTTCTTCTTCTTCTTCTTCTTTCTTCTTCTTCTTCTCCTTCTCTTCTCCTTCTCTTCTCCTTCTCCTTCTCCTTCTCCTTCTCCTTCTCCTTCTCTTCTCCTTCTCTCCTTCTCCTTCTCTCCTTCTCCTCTCCTTCTCCTTCTCCTTCTCCTTCTCCTTCTCCTTCTTCTTCTTCTTCTTTCTTCTTCTTCCTTCTTCTTCTTCTTCTTCTTCTTTTCTTATTATATTATTATTATTATTATTATTCATTTTAATTATTATTATTATTATTATTATATTGTTATTGTTATTGTTATTGTTATTGTTATTGTTATTGTTATTGTTATTATTATTATTATTTATTATTGTTATTATTATTATTATTACTACTAGTATTGGTGTTTGTATTGTTTGATTAGTATTATTAGAATTATTTATTAGTAGAATTTTTGGTATCATCATCATTTTTACTTTTTATTCTTATATTCATTATCTCCAACACGATCACCATCATTATCATTATCGTTTCTTTTCTTTTCGCCGTTAATTTTTCGGTCCTTCCTTCTTCCCATGCGTTGTTGCTGTATTTCTGCGAAGGGGGGGGTGGGGGTGGATGGGGGTGGAGGGGGGCGAGAGATAAGAGGAAGGGGACTGATAATGAGATAAGAGGTTCTAAGGACGCGCTGATAGAGAGGCAGGTGCTTGGCGGTGGAGGAGGAGGAGGAGGAGGGAGGAGGGAGGAGGAGGAGGAGGAGGAGGAGGAGGGGAAGGAGAGGGAGGAGGAGGAGGAGGAGGAGGTGAGAGGATAGGAGGAGGAGGGAGGTGGCGGAGGAGGTGTTGGAGTGGAGGATTAGGTACGCACACAACACACACAAACAGCACACGCACACGCACACACGCACACGCACACGCACACGGCACACGCACACGCCACGCACAACGCGCACACGCACACGCACAACGCACACGCACACGCACACGCACACACACACACACAACACACACACACACACACACACACACACACACACACCACACACACACACACACACACACACACACACACACACACAACACACACACGCCTGGTCTCAGGAGATAGGGCCAGGGAAAGGTCGTTTTGTCTGTTTTATGCCGTGATGAAGCACCGTCTCCCCTCTCCCCTCTCCCCCCCTCCCCCTCTCCCCTCTCCCTCTCCCCTCTTCCCCCCCTCCCCCCTCCCCCCTCTCCCCTCTCCCCTCTCCCTCTCTCCCTCTTAAGGTAGATAGTGCCGACACCTTTCTCCCCTTTTTTTTCCCTTCGTTTCTTCCTCCTGTGTTCGTTCCTCCCATTTGTGTTTTTCCTTCTTTTCTTTCTTTCTTTTTCCCTCCTTCCTTCCTTCCTTCTCTTCCTCTTCCTTTCCTCCTTCTCCCTTCTTTTTCCTCCATTTTCTTCCTTCCTTCCTTCTTCCTTCCTCCTCCTCCCTTTCCTCCTTTCCCTCCTTCCCCCTTCCCTTCCCCTTCCCTTCCTTCCTTCCCCTTCCCTTCCTGCCTCCCTCCCGCCCTTCCTCCCACCCTTCCTCCCCATTCACATTCCTCCTTGAAAAAACGCGTCAAGAAAACCGTAGTGTAGGAAAAGGTAGAGGAAGAGGTAGAAGAGGAAGAAAGGTAGGACGATTGATAACAGTAATAATGATGATAATGATAAGGAGGAGAGGGGGAGAAGGAGGAGGAGGAGGAGGAGGAGGAGGAGGTAGGGAGGTAGGAGGTAGGTAGGTAGGTAGGTAGGTAGGTAGGTAGGTAGGTAGGTAGGTAGGTAGGTAGGTAGGTAGGTAGGTAGGTAGGTAGAAGAGTAGGAAGATGAAGAAGAGGAGGAGGAGAAAGAGGAAGAAGAGGAGGAGGAGAAAGAGGAAGAGAGGAAGGAGGAGAAAGAGGAAGAAGAGGGGAGGAAGAAAAGAGGAAGAGAGAGGAGAGAGGAAGAAGAGAGGAGAAAGAGGGAGAAGAGGAGAAAGAGGAAGAAGAGGAGGAGGAGAAAGAGGAAGAAGAGGAGGAGGAGAAAGAGGAAGAAGAGGAGGAGGAGAAAGAGGAAGAAGAGGAGGAGAGAAAGAGGAAGAGAGGAGGAGGAGAGAGGAAGAAGAGGAGGAGGAGAAAGAGGAAGGAGGAGAGGAGGAAGAGGAGAAGAGGGAGGAGGAAGAGGAAGGAGGAGAGAGACGAGCGGCTCGACGCGAGAGGCAGAGGCCGGCCGAGGGAGGGAGGGAGGCGAGTGGGCCGAGGAGGGAGGGAGGGAGGCAGAGTGGGCCGAGGAGGGAGGGACAGAGTGAGGCAGAGTGGGCCGTGGAGGGAGGGAGGGAGGGCAGAGTGGGCGAGGAGGGAGGGAGGGAGGCAGTGGGGCGTGGAGGGAGGGAGGGAGGCAGAGTGCCGAGGAGGGAGGGAGGGAGGCAGAGTGGGCCGTGGAGGGGAGGGAGGCAGAGTGGGCCGAGGAGGGAGGGAGGGAGGCAGATGGGCCGAG